ACTTTTAATCCAGGTTACAATAATCCACACTTTTAATCCAGGTTACACTCTTTCCTCAATGACACATTTTACAAAGTAGCTACATATTGTGCAGGTATAAAGATACATTTGTATATATTTTTGTGTACATATATTTTTTTAAGCTATTTGACTAACTTTTATTTTTCTATTATTCAATCTTTTACTAACAGAATAGTCAAATAGCAGCCTGTTTTTTGTGTGAATTGCTATGTCAGTCAAATGTTCAATTTTGGAATAAAGGGGTGGAAATTAAAACTTTTTTTTTTTTTTTAATTCCGATTCATCGATTAATCGAAAAAATAATCGCCCGATGAATCGATTATTGAAATAATTGTTAGTTGCAGCCCTACTGTATTCTTTCTAATGTACCAGAAACTTCGAACCTGTACTGAAAGCATAATGAAAGGGGCTATGGAAACACCACGTGTACCATACCAAGCTGAGTCGAACCATGCTGTACCGGTACTAAAAGATACTATGGAAAAGGGGCATAAGCAACTAAAGGCCTCTCTCACATTGACTGATGTTAATGTTTATGAGTCCACCATCAGAACACTGAACAACAATGGTGTGCATGGCAGGATTTAAGGAGAAAGACACTGCTCTCCAAAAAGAACATTGATGCTCATCTGCAGTTTGATAAAGATCACATGGACAAGCCAGAACACTGATGGAAGAATGTTTTGTGGACAGATGAAACCAAAATCAAACTTTTTGGTTTAAATGAAAAGTGTTATGTTTGGAGAAGGGAAAACACTGCATTCCTGCAGAAGAACCTTATCCCATCTGTGAAACATGGTGGTGGTAGTATCATGGTTTGGGCCTGTTTTGCTTCATCTGGGCCAGGACAGCTTGCTGTCATTGATGGAACAAGGAATTCTGAATAACAGAGAATTCTAAAGGAAAATGTCAGAACATCTGTCCATGAACTGAATCTCAAGAGAAGGTGGGTCATGCAGCAAGACAATGACCTGAAGCACACAAGTGGTTCTACCAAAGATACACACCAGATACTGAAAGACACACCAGATACTGAAAGACACACCAGATACTGAAAGACACACCAGATACTGAAAGCCGAGGTTCACATAATTTTACCACTCACATATATGTAGTAATGGACCATTTTCCTCAATAAATAAATGACCAAGTATAATATTTTGTCTCATTTGTTTAACTGGGTTCTCTTTATCAACTTTTAGGATTTGTGTGAAAATCTGATGATGTTATAGGTCATATTTATGCAAATAAATATAGAAAATTCCAAAGAATTCACAAACTTTAAATACCACTGTACATTAGACAATGTAAGAAAATGTTCAGAGCTGAAGCGCTTCATGGAGGAACAGCCCCAGTCCACAAGATGTGCGAGTCCTTTATTGTGGTCTGTTAGCATTGTTCCCACAGAGGGAATACTGAGTCGGATATAGTTTCAACCCTGGCTTTAGTAGTGAACTCTATGTAGGCTCTGATGTTCCATGAAACAGAGCCTGACACAGATTGAAGATCTGTGTACTGTTTTAAAAACACTGACAAACTGAAAGTCTTCTTTAGTGTTTTTTCTGTGTGTCTTCTTCCAGAGGCTTCCCTGGGTTGGCCGCAGCCAGCTTGTAGTGAATGAGTTCATGGCCTTCCTGGGTAACCTGGTGTCGGCTCAGACCGTCTACCTGTGTGCCTGTCTGAAGATGGTGGTCTCCCACTTCACTCCAAGTATGTTTTCCTCACAGCAAGGCTCAGAAATCACGTTTTATTCAGGAAACTCTTGATTTAAGCAGAACTCATTTGTATTAGAGTTGAAAGGTAATATTTGTGGATTTCTTGGTTTTCTGTCAGGATGAACTTTGTGAATGTTTTTCAGAGAGGGTCACCATCCATGAGGGAGGAGTTGACATCTCTGACTCAGATGATGAAGATGAGAGTAAGTCCCATTCTTGTTCTTTTTTTAAATACTGTATTCTTTCTATTCTTATTTAACTTAAGGTTGCAAAATTCTGGAAATTTTCAAAATTGGAAACTTTCTTTGGAATAATGGGAATTAATGAGAATAAAAGGCAATAAACAAGAAAATTGAAGTATTGAAAGTTGACTCTTAATTCAGTTCAATTCAGTTTATTTATATAGCACCAAGTCACAACAGAAGTCATCTCAGGGCACTGAACAAACATTTATATACATAAAACAATTATTTTGAATGTTATTGACAAAAAAACCCCACACATTTCCATGGTTTTGTCTAAATAAAATTACAAGGAAAACAAAGTATGAATCAAACAAAATCTAAATAGTTTTGTTCAGAGTAGTGGGAATAAGATCTGACTATTTCTGGACATTTTTGTAAAGAATTCAGTGATTTTGTTCCCATGTTAATGACTGAAAACGTGATAAAACATTATGTAATGCGAATATTTCTGTTCAGCTGTGTTCTTGAATTCAGAAAAAATTAAAGGAACAATCAAGAAGAGAGCAAATTAAACAAATGTTCATGATTCACTGTTCTCATAACAAGTGGTTCCCAGCCCTGGTCCTTGAAGAACACCATTCGCAGGGATTAAAGTGCGGATTTCCGACTTGAGAGCGAGACAGCCCACTGGTCCACCTCAGTTTAACTTTAGTTAATAGACAGGGATTACATTCAGTCACACTGAGTCCTGCGTTGTCTTGACCAATCACTAACAGTAAGGTGGGTTGTAGAATGCAGAAGATGGAGTTCATCACACCGGGACAAAATACAGTTTTACTGGAGAGCGGAGTTAAAAAGAAGTGGCGCTCTGTCTTCTCAATAACAGGCGGCAATTTCGCTGCCTACTCACGTGTCTGGCACCGCCTACTCTGACTGACAATTTTTTTCTCTACCTTTGGAGCAAATCGTCACTTCGGCACGTGATAGTTACATGACCCATTTCAGTTGTGCTAGCGCATGTGTCAAACTCAAGGCCCAGGGGCCAAATGTGGCCCTTGTTGACATCTTATCTGGCCTCCAAGATGATATGTGAAACATAAAATACTTCTATCTCTTGAACTTTTTTCAGTAATCTTTGATTATGATGTCGAAAGCACAACAGAGAACATCAAAATGAGACCAATCAAACTCTTGTTGAGGAACCTATGATCAAGAAAAGTTGTTAGGTATCTGATTTGAGTTAATGCAAATTCTGAAATTGGCCCTTAGTTTGAAAAAGGTTTTAATTTTGGCCCCCTTTTGTGAATGAGTTTGACACCCCTGCACTAGCGGGAAAAACACAGCACCTCAGCAATTGCATTTTAATTTATCATAAGTACAGACTTAAATCTACACACCAGTTTTTAAATTGTGTTGATAGGTCAAGTAAAACCAGAGTTATGATCAATAATCCACGCCACGTCTTTTTCTGAAAATGGACAAATCTGAAGTGCGTTAGAGCGAGCGGCTGCAGCAAAGGCGGGCAGTCTCGGGGACAAAACATCCCCATCACCCTCAGCTTTCATTATTATTCATTAGTTATGGTAGGAAATGTGAAATCCTGTTACCTGAGGGAAAATGTTAGTAAGCTGCCGAGAGATGGCAGGAAGCTTGTCAAAATAAGATATACAAATAAAAATTAAGAAATACATAAATTAGCCACTCCTGCATATAAACTGTGGGTACAATGTGTGAGAAAAAGTAGCGGCTTATACAATGGAAATTACGGTAGTTATTCAAATTGAAACACCCAAAAATCACAATTTTTTTTTCCTCTTCTGAATTTTTAAAAATTATTTATTTATGTTTATGCATTTGGAGGGATGGACTGAAAAATTACATGAGGATGCAGCATCAAGCCTTACCTATTACCTGTTCAAATATGATAACAAATAACACCAAAAATGATTATTCTGGACATATTTTTTATCAGAGTACGTCCATGCATATTTCAAAGTGTCCAAATGGAGTCCAACATGTCCACCCTGTTGGACACCAATGGTAGATACCATCGTAATAAAGGTGTAACTCCTGAATTGCTTTAATGAAAGGTCACAACTACAGGAATCGTATTCTATATCTAGATTTACTGTCAGCAGGATTCAAATACAGGAAGTTATGAATAAACAGGAAGGAGACACACAGCAATAAATATGTAAACACACATGTCTTACCTTTGCTTTATTTCCTACCTTCGCGGAGCGAAGAGGGTGAATTGGAATTACCCTCCATCCATTTGTTCATGTATGTTGTGAGCATGATAATTTGAAAAATAAGTGAAGTGTTGACTTCCATGTTGGTGTGCGGCTGCATCTAGGAGTAAGGAAAGTTCCTACCCAAAACTGGGCTGCCATTTCAAAATCCAAGATGGCTGCCACTATATATATAATAATTTTATTTAAAAAGTGCCTTTCAGGACACCCAAGGACACTTTACAGTAATAATAATAATAATAATGTCATCACAATGTCAGCACTGTATGTTTCCATACAATGGCGAAATTAGTCTCTGCATTTAACCCATCCACCACCAGGTGGTGCAGTGGGCAGCTATTGAAAGCGCCCGGGGGACATTTTGGGGATTAGACGTGCTGCCCAGAGACGCCACGTGATGTGCAGTGACTGGGGATCGAACCTGGGACTCTCGGGTCCCAAGCCGGCTGCCCTGCCTCTACACCATCTCGGCCCCGAAACATATCAGAAAGATTGTGCTAAAACAAACAACAAGCACAGTGCAAAGATCAACAGGAATAAATTGAAATATAAAATACATACAGAATATAAAATACATAAAGAATATAAAATACATACAGCAAAGTTAAGGATAAACGAGTCTAAAGAGATGTCATCTGGACTTCGTTTTTTTGTTAAAAAGAAACGTTTCGCCCC